AGGCATAGGGCCACATAGAATGACACAGCGGGCCACAAATAGCCCTCAGGCCTTAGTTTGGACATGCCTGCCTAAGAACAAAGCAATTCAACCCGCTGCAAGGGTCCATGATCGCACCAGCTAAATATTAATATTATATCATGAGGCCAAAACGTATAATTTATCCGTATTATTTGTGTTTACGCATTTTGTATTTGAATTGTCACGAGGCCTTTTCAGATTTCCTCTTCTGGTCGGTGTCGTCTTCAAAGCGGTAAAGTACTTCCTAAAACATACATCCCATGTCAACGAAGCGTGCTGATAGGTGGCCTGCTGTTTACCAAGGCCTGTTTATCCTTCACTGGTGTGTTTGAAATACCCCCGCACACACACACACAGACACACACACAAACAAACTCAGAGGAACGGTGAAACAACACGGGACAGCACACAACATGCGCTAATTGTGCCAAAAACACAAGTGTAAACAGGGAGTAACCGGGCAATCACCCAGAGCGGGCGCAGGTAAAGCCGGATTAGAGAGAGACCGGCCGCTGATGGAGCTGTGTACATAAAGGCGGTCTACGCAGATTTACAAAGTACAACACGTTTAGGGAGATGGCTGGATGATCTCTGCCAGCGCTGATGAGGACTGGGCTGGATTTCCCATCTTTAAGCAATTCACCTTTGAATTACTATCAAGATCACATTGGCAGCGTTCACATCAGTGGATTCATGTCCACGCTAGCCTGGTCTTTCCATACCATTGTACAAATTTCATTTCGTACTAAGGTCTGGGTTTGCTCCATTGACTCCGTTAACAGGTGGGAGGGGTTAACTTCTTTTGCAGATTGAAACCATTGGATCAGAGTTTACCGTGATATATGTAATGAGCCCGAGTGAGTGAGGCATTTAGCCTAGCTTTAGCCATCTCCTTTGCCACTAACGGAGCCCGTGGGGAGTAGAGCCACAACATCTTTGCTTCAATGACATTTACTAAACATTCCTCTTGCTCCGGCTTCAATTTCTTGATATTTGGATTGAACCAGAACAGATTATTTTACTATCGCATTCTCCGACAAACTACAACCAGCAAATTCAGCACAAACTCTTGACGTCACCGACACCGACCTACAACACCCGCCTCCCCCGCTCAGGCCCGTCGTAAGGGGGGTGCAAGGCCCTGTGCGAACTCGAAACGCGAGGCCCTGCCCTGACACGTTTTTCCCAGATCTGAGGAAAGTTTTTCCTGTTATAATCGTTGACATGAATTTAGCACCGCCTCGTGCGGTGCGTGAGGAGATCAGCACACGCACAGCCGAGTGTCTTCGCTCCAATGCAGCGTTGGGCGCGCGCACGGGCTTACACGCACACACAAACACACACACACTGCGGCGCTTGGCATTGCGATATTGGTCGCGGTCTTTTTAGCTGACATGGCTCTTTTGTCCTGTGGCAAAATTCTCCTTCTCCTCCACACTGACCACAACAACATACTCTTCAACTCCTCCTCCACACACTCTGACCATAACAAGGCGTTTTATGCCCAAAATCCACTCCACTTGCAGTGGGGGCTAAAGCTAGACATACAGTGTGTTTGCTAATGCTTTTAAAAATATGTTTTTGATGTGGATATTCGGACTAAACATTGGCAATAGCAGCGCTCACACACCTGTCACACCGCTGCTCCTCCTCCTCCTCTGCTCACACAAAGGGGTCTGCTCCTCTGCTCACACCTGTCTCACTGCTCCTCCTCCGCGAGTATCCATCTCTCCTACACTGCGATCATTCCTGTTACTTTCTTCGTATCTCACTCAGACACTGCTAAAGTTATCCGACAGCTCCGTAAAGTTTTTTTTCGGAGGACCCGCTGCGTACATAGCTGCCCGCGCGCCTGCCTGTTTACAAATCGCTTTTTTTGTGAAAATTTGACTTTACTTTTTTTTTTTTTTCTTTTGATCAAACGAAATCACAGAGGTCCAGAGAAAGGGGTTTAGGGGTCCAAACTTGGAGCGCAGTCTGCCCTTTGGGGACCCTTGAACTAGTGTATTTATAAAAAAAAAAAAAAAAAAAAAAAAAGGAAATGAGATTGCGAGGCCCCTGTGTGGTGCGAGGCCCTGTGCGACGGCACAGGTTGCGCAGCCCTTCCGACGGGCCTGCCCCCGCTCTCTGATTGGTCGGAGGGGATTGAACCGAGGAAACTGCAGCCACTAGGATCAGACCCAGACGTACATGTAGGAAATGATCATGGACCAGAGTTTACACATGGTAAGACCAGACGTACATGTAGGAGATGATCATGGACCAGAGTTTACACATGGTAAGACCAGACGTACATGTAGGAGATGATCATGGACCAGAGTTTACACATGGTAAGACCAGACGTACATGTAGGAGATGATCATGGACCAGAGTTTACACATGGTAAGACCAGACGTACATGTAGGAGATGATCATGGACCAGAGTTTACACATGGTAAGACCAGACGTACAAGTAGGAAATGATCATGGACCAGAGTTTACACATGGTAAGACCAGACGTACATGTAGGAAAATGATCATGGACCAGAGTTTACACATGGTAAGACCAGACGTACATGTAGGAGATGATCATGGACCAGAGTTTACACATGGTAAGACCAGACGTACATGTAGGAGATGATCATGGACCAGAGTTTACACATGGTAAGACCAGACGTACATGTAGGAAATGATCATGGACCAGAGTTTACACATGGTAAGACCAGACGTACATGTAGGAAATGATCATGGACCAGAGTTTACACATGGTAAGACCAGACGTACATGTAGGAGATGATCATGGACCAGAGTTTACACATGGTAAGACCAGACGTACATGTAGGAGATGATCATGGACCGGAGTTTACACATGGTAAGACCAGACGTACATGTAGGAAATGACCATGGACCAGAGTTTACACATGGTAAGACCAGACGTACATGTAGGAGATGATCATGGACCAGAGTTTACACATGGTAAGACCAGACGTACATGTAGGAGATGATCATGGACCAGAGTTTACACATGGTAAGACCAGACGTACATGTAGGAAATGATCATGGACCAGAGTTTACACATGGTAAGACCAGACGTACATGTAGGAGATGATCATGGACCAGAGTTTACACATGGTAAGACCAGACGTACATGTAGGAGATGATCATGGACCAGAGTTTACACATGGTAAGACCAGACGTACATGTAGGAGATGATCATGGACCGGAGTTTACACATGGTAAGACCAGACGTACATGTAGGAAATGACCATGGACCAGAGTTTACACATGGTAAGACCAGACGTACATGTAGGAGATGATCATGGACCAGAGTTTACACATGGTAAGACCAGACGTACATGTAGGAGATGATCATGGACCAGAGTTTACACATGGTAAGACCAGACGTACATGTAGGAAATGATCATGGACCAGAGTTTACACATGGTAAGACCAGACGTACATGTAGGAGATGATCATGGACCAGAGTTTACACCATGGTAAGACCAGACGTACATGTAGGAGATGATCATGGACCAGAGTTTACACATGGTAAGACCAGACGTACATGTAGGAGATGATCATGGACCAGAGTTTACACATGGTAAGACCAGACGTACATGTAGGAAATGACCATGGACCAGAGTTTACACATGGTAAGACCAGACTAGGTCCAAACTAAGACTGCTTCAGAGCGTCCACTTCCATCCCCAGTGAGTTTGTGCTTCTGCAGCTGGAGTTTGCAGAACAAGGAAATCCCCCTCCTCCCTCCCCCTTCATCCTCCCCCCTCCCTCCCCCCTTCATCCTCCCCCCTCCCTCCCCTCTCACACAAATGCAGATGTGAGCGCTCCAAGTGACAGGGACGTGCTTCTATTTATCTTTTGTATATTTGCTCTTCGCGGCGTCCATCGCAGGGAACTCCCACGATCTGTAAAGGCTCTGTTTAGGTCCGAGGGACATTAGCGCGGCTTCAGGTGGGAGTCACGGACATTAGCGTGTGTCCTCTGAAACCTGTTCCGCGAAAAGGCCATCAGAGTTCTGAAGCTTTGAGAGGCTGTTTGGAGAGTTGTGTATAAAGCACCAGAAGAAGCAAGTAGGATGAAAAAACAACCCGAGTTGGTAAACCGGAGAACTTGGCAAAAACAAAAATAAAAAACCCAACAAACCTAGGTGTGAGCCGGCTTTAGGGGAAGCAGGGTGATGATCCCGGACACTCAACATTCACCAACATTTATGGACATTCATCAACACCTATGTATCTCTTATGGATATTGGTCATCTGCCCCCTATGGACCAATACCAATGTGTTTTCTGTTTTCATTCTTGTGTTTGAACCGTTTGATTCTGTGATCTGTGTTGGCGAATTCAACGGCTTTTGAGACTGTTGTGATTTAGGACAATATAAGAATACATTGAATTGAATTGACATTGGGTTTACTGATATAGAAGCAGTACCTGTCCCAACAAACGTTCCACATCCTCACATCCTTTACTCATTGACTGCTATTGAGGTACTGTATTTGTCTGAGACCCTGTATTCGACTGGGGGTTACAGGAGAACCAGAATAGCTAGAAACAAACTTGATTTTGCTGATGAAAGAAGACAATCCAGTCTTTCAGAATCTGGTTTCAGATTTCACATAGTCGTAGGAAATCATATTCTGTGGGTCTTGAGAATCAGTGAAATCATCAAAAACGGCTGGCAGTCAATGAGTTACAATAAATATTTAAACACTTTTATATAATCTTCTTTGAAATACAGTATCATAGTTTTAAAGTCATCTTAAAAGCTTTTTTCCCACTGCAGCCCTGCATTTGTCAGCCCATGTTGAAATGACATGTCAACCTGGGATTACAATGGTAAAACTTAAACAAGAGTGAATAGTGGCAAAACTTGGGCACTTCCCAATTGGGCGTCTTTAAACTAGCGGGTTAGCAATGTCCATCTAAACAGTAAATATATACAGTCTATGACCAGGACACAAGACTATAGCCACGGATCCTAAAATGTGGTTGGTGCTCCCACACTGTCTGGGGCTTCTCTGGCTGCGTACCTCCGAACAGACCTGAGAGCGAGACATGACGTGATGAGGCTCTCTGTGGACCTGCGGGACCGGTCTTCCTCTGAGAGTCGATCAAAGCCAGTCCACTGGGTTCACAGGGTCCCAGCATCATTATCCTTGGGGCCCCCTCATCCTTTGTCTAGTGTCTTGACACAAGCCGGGATTCTGTCATTACAGCTTTGACCTGCTTCAGTCTTTAAAAAAAAAGGACAAAAAACTCTTTTCAAAGCTGTTGACGATGAAGTGGTTTCCTTTAGTTCCACTTTACTTTACGTTCGAATGTTCTGGAAACGGCAGAAAGTCCTGAGTCGCTCAGCTACAGTGTTCATGGTTTTACGCCGATCCAGACCAGAGCAGAGAGGACGGTCCCAAACAAGCAGATCAAGCACAAATCCACCGGAAGAATGCTGATTTTATTTTGAAACATTTTAATAAAGCTTTCAGAATTTCACTCTGAACCAGAGCAGAGATATGGTCCGAGCCAAGCGGACTCTGCAGACATCATGTGGTTTCATAAATTGCACGTTCCGACACTTTTGGACCAAGGGCTCAATGCGTTTTGGTTTTAATCATTGCATTTCTTGTGTTTGATTCTCTGATTTGCTTGTCGGTGAATCAATAGTTTTGTCCTCAAATAGCACCTGATTTAAGGCTTATAAACTAAATTGTTTTGGTTTATTGGATTTTAACTGGACTGGACAATCCAATGTATTTTTGTGTATCCTTTTGTTTATGCATTGTACATTCATTCAAAAACGTCATATTAAATATTTCTACAACATGAGATGCCGAAGAAATACATACACTGCTTCTTTTACAGTTTTAAATCAATGTAAAATTTCATACGTACAAAATAACACAGAGCCTCAAGGGTGTCCTGGATTCTCACTGTACACATTTCAGCCGAGAGAGGCATATTGTAATCTTTATAATGCAAATCCACGCTTTGCTTCAGCTGCTCCTTTCATGTGACCTTCAGAAAGCGTTTTAAAGCCTATTGTCCGTCAGAGAGGAGTTATCTCACGGCAGAGTTAAATGTCATGTCGGGAAAGTGCGGCAGGAAGCAGAATACGTAGGCTCGGGTTCAGGTCCATGCACCTACTTTCAAACGGTGTTAAGACGCAAGAGCGAAAAAAAACTAGCAGTTGTGACCAAAGTAAATGAGAGTAAAGTGGGTTAAAATGTCAGAACACAGAGAGGAATACTGGCTAATGCAGGTTTATGATAGTGGCACCCTTTAGCACCGAGAATATGGAAGAATAAACAAAGAAGAGGCTGAAATAGTAAATAGTAAACTCACTAAAATGATTGTTCTTGTTTGTAAAGTCTTCTACGGTCTTCTACGGAGGATTGTACCCATAATGCTTTTCAGGACACTCAAAGACGCTTCACATGTCATTATTCATTCACTGCATACACAGTTGTGATAAACTACTACTGAAGCCACAGCTGCCCTGGGGCACACTGACAGAAGCGAGGCAACCAGTCTGTGCCATGAGCCCCTCCCACACACACACCAGACTCATGGGGGAAGTGTCTTGCCTCAGGACACAGCCACTTGGTGTTGTCCCAGAGGTCTCCCATCACAACACTAACCAGGCCCTGCCCTGCTTAGCCTCAGAGGTCGCTGAGTGGCTGAGTGGTTAGCACTCTCGCCTCTCAGTAAGAAGGTTCTGGGTTCAAATCCCGGTCGGAACAGGGCCTTTCTGAGTGGAGTTTGCATGTTCTCCCCGTGTCTGCGTAGGTTTCCTCCGGGTACTCCTGTTTCCCCTACCACTAAAAACATGTACAATAGTTCAGGGTGAATGAGTGTGTGTTTGTGAGTGTGACTGTGGGACGACGGATGCAAATCAGCCCAAAGCTACAATCCAGAGAGATGTGTTCATGAACATCCCAACACAATGAACAATAAATAACACACTACAAAAAAATGATAAAATATGGAGGTAAGAAATGCTTGAATTGATTGGATTTTTATATATTTTTGAGAACATTTTGATTTCTTTAATTATTTTTCATCACTTTTTGCAGTGTAGACAAAAATACAAAGTCTACAGTAGATTTAAAAGCAAAAATTAAGAGTTTTATAGCAAAATCACATAACACTGAAACTGAGAAGGCTATAACAAAAACTCAACAACAAAGTGAGACGCTAAATCTGGTCTTAGCCACGTCCGCGTTAGCCACATCAGACTTTCAGACTTGCAGCTAAATTGTCCTTGTGCCTGGTTGGGCTCTGAAGCGCCCGGAGGATTGGCCTTATTAAGTCCTGCATTGTCCTCTGCTTGAATGGCCTCAGCGAAACACAAGACACGGTCCAGGAGCCGAATGGAAAATCATAATAGGAGCTTAAAGATGAGAGACATCTGAAGGCTGTGGCCGTTCAGAGAGATGAAGTCGTCCGTCAGGTGATTAAGGGGCCAAAACTTTGCTCTGAGAAACAACGGGAAAATGGCCCTGAATGGAAGAATTTGATGCAGCACAATGGGAAAGCAGGTTGATAGTAAGCAAAAGTCTGGTTTGGTTTTATCTAAGAGAGAAAAAACACACCTTAGATTGGATTGGGGATTTTTCTGGGAAAGCAAAAAACCCAATCTGGAATTGGGTTATTTCATCTACAGCTTGGGTTAGAAGCAGGAGTGGGACTGAGGGCTACGGGAAAGAGAGAGACCAGAGAGAGAGACCAGAGGGAGAGAGACCAGAGAGAGAGACCAGAGAGAGACCAGAGAGAGAGACCAGAGAGAGAGACCAGAGAGAGACCAGAGAGAGACCAGAGAGAGATCAGAGAGAGATCAGAGAGAGACCAGAGAGAGACCAGAGAGAGAGACCAGAGAGAGACCAGAGAGAGATCAGAGAGAGACCAGAGAGAGACCAGAGAGAGAGACCAGAGAGAGAGACCAGAGAGAGACCAGAGAGAGAGACCAGAGAGAGACCAGAGAGAGACCAGAGAGAGAGACCAGAGAGAGAGACCAGAGAGAGACCAGAGAGAGAGACCAGAGAGAGACCAGAGAGAGACCAGAGAGAGATCAGAGAGAGACCAGAGAGAGAGACCAGGGAGAGACCAGAGAGAGAGACCAGAGAGAGACCAGAGAGAGACCAGAGAGAGAGACCAGGGAGAGACCAGAGAGAGAGACCAGAGAGAGAGAGAGACCAGAGAGAGAGACCAGAGAGAGAGACCAGAGAGAGACCAGAGAGAGAGACCAGAGAGAGAGACCAGAGAGAGACCAGAGAGAGACCAGAGAAAGATCAGGATGAGACCAGAGAGAGACCAGAGAAAGACCAGAGAGGCACCGAACAGCGACCAGGGAGAGACCAGACAGAAAGGCCAGAGAGACTAGAGAGCGAGACCAAAGAGAGAGACCAAAGAGCGAGACCAGAGAGAGACCAGAGAGAGACCAGCAAGAGACTAGAGAGAGACCAGAGAGAGACCAGGATGAGACCAGCGAGAGACTAAAGAGAGACCAGAGCGAGACCAGAGAGACTAGAGAGCGAGACCAAAGAGAAAGACCAGAGTAAGAGACCTTTTTAGATAGAGTCGTCCGTCTGGAAAATGGCCTCGCAAGAAAACAGAAGAATTCTCCTCGACACATCGAGAAAGAGGCAGTTGAGAATAAGCAAAAGTCCAGTTCGGCTTCGAGACATGTTAAGTATGTGCGGCATCTTCGCTACAGTATACAGCGCTGTCGGCTCGCGCGGAGAGTCCATATTTCTTACGGGGCGGAGGAATGTTCCGAATGCGGCTCGGTATGTCGCGTATGGTGCTAAACACGCCGCTTCTAAACAAACCCAAAATGATGGGATTCTTTTAGAACACGCAAAGGCTCCAGCTATTTTTAGTCCCATGGTTACGGTAATGAGCTCAAGGTTCTTCAGCTGGTTTTTTTTTGGAAATTGAGAAATACAGTGGTTCCTTGTTTATCGCGGGGTTGAAGTTTGAGAAATGAACATTAAAAAATGGTTTCTGTAGGTTTTAAGGCTGTGAAAACTATCACATACTGAACTCATGACTGCTGATGTGAGAGAGACCAGAGAGAGAGACTAGAGAGAGGGACCAGAGAGAGACCAAAGAGAGACCAAAGAGAGACCAAAGAGAGACCAAAGAGAGACCAAAGAGAGGGCAGAGAGAGACCAAAGAGAGAGACCAAAGAGAGAGACCAGAAAGAGACTAGAGAGAGACCAGAGAGAGACCAGAGAGAGACTAGAAAGAGACTAGAAAGAGACCAGAGAGAGACCAGAGAAGGAGAGAGGACTGAGAACTACGGGAAGACCGCAGTAGTCCTCTGAACTAACCACAGCTGTGCACACAAGCCACAAAAGTTTTCTTCTGACTTGAAATAAAGGCAACTGCCATGTTTTACTAGTGTTATATGAAGCTGTAGGTGAGAAAACAGTCAAAATAAAACATGAAAAGGGGAAATAGCTCCTCCAACAAGAGAGAGTACAGTTAGCCATTATCAAACCTTGCTACACATTAGCAGGTTTAGCTAGTAGCTTCAACCGTCTATTTCTATTTTCATTCCAAGTCGAAAGAAAGAACCCCTACTTTTTCTCGGGTCAGGTGCGTGAATGAGGACATTGACCCAGGAGTAAAATCAGATAACACCAGAATCAGATAACACAATACTCTGATCAATGATGCAAGTCAACATGAGAAATGTGATCAGTCCAAACAGCAGGTGGAGGAATCCGCTGGGTTTCTTTAGAGAACGTTTATTAGAAAGTCACTAAAATGTGTTAAAAAGTTGTAGATTCTCTGTTCTGCCTGGTTTCTCTGTGTCCTCATCCCGGTCTCTCTCTCCCGGTCTCTCTCTCCCAGTCTCTCTCTCCCAGTCTCTCTCTCCCAGTCTCTCTCTCCCAGTCTCTCTCTCCCCGGTCTCTCTCTCTCCCGGTCTCTCTCTCTCCCGGTCTCTCTCTCCCAGGTCTCTCTCTCCCAGTCTCTCTCTCCAGTCTCTCTCTCCCAGTCTCTCTCTCCCAGTCTCTCTCTCCCAGTCTCTCTCTCCCAGTCTCTCTCTCCCAGTTTCTCTCTCCCAGTCTCTCTCTCCCAGTCTCTCTCTCCCAGTCTCTCTCTCTCCCAGTCTCTCTCTCCCAGTCTCTCTCTCCCAGTCTCTCTCTCCCAGTCTCTCTCCCAGTCTCTCTCCCAGTCTCTCTCCCAGTCTCTCTCTCCCAGTCTCTCTCTCCCAGTCTCTCTCTCCCAGTCTCTCTCTCCAGTCTCTCTCCCAGTCTCTCTCCCAGTCTCTCTCCCAGTCTCTCTCTCTCCCAGTCTCTCTCCCAGTCTCTCTCTCCCAGTCTCTCTCCCAGTCTCTCTCTCCCAGTCTCTCTCTCCCAGTCTCTCTCTCCCAGTCTCTCTCTCCCAGTCTCTCTCTCCCAGTCTCTCTCTCCCGGTCTCTCTCTCCCGGTCTCTCTCTCCCGGTCTCTCTCTCCCAGTCTCTCTCCCAGTCTCTCTCTCCCAGTCTCTCTCTCCCAGTCTCTCTCTCCCAGTCTCTCTCTCCCAGTCTCTCTCTCCCAGTCTCTCTCTCCCAGTCTCTCTCTCCCAGTCTCTCTCTCCCGGTCTCTCTCTCCCAGTCTCTCTCTCCCAGTCTCTCTCCCAGTCTCTCTCTCCCAGTCTCTCTCCCAGTCTCTCTCCCAGTCCCTCTCTCCCAGTCTCTCTCCCAGTCTCTCTCCCAGTCTCTCTCCCAGTCTCTCTCCCAGTCTCTCTCATAAAGCCTCTACATAAAGCTGGCAGGTCTGTATATCTAAATGTGGTATTTTCATCTCTGGCAGCCCTTGTTTATAAAATGTGCTATATAAATAATGTGTATTGAATTCCTACTGTGCTGTAACTGGTGATACTGGTGCAATAACACAACAACAGGAGCAGATTTGGGTCAGAAACAGACTAAACCGGAGCCTTACCAGTTTCTCCTTGTAGACCATGTGCCGCAGCCACTTGAAGTCCAGCGGTTTGAAGGCGGAGAAGACGAACAGCGAGTCCTTCTCGTAGTTCTCGGGTTTCTGGATGGCTCCCTCTGGGTACGTGATCCTCATGGTGGTCTTGGTCCCCACGTCTCTGCCGAAGCCACTCACCGGGGCCTCGTTTAGCCTGGGCAGAGAGAAAGACCGGGACAATCTTAAACAATTGGGTTTTACTGCAGACTAAATCACTGCTATTATTTGGTCTTAAACCACAAGAAAAGTGGTCTCGCTCTGGTCTCGCTCTGGTCTCGCTCTGGTCTCGCTCTGGTGTCTCGCTCTGGTGTCTCGCTCTGGTGTCTCGCTCTGGTGTCTCGCTCTGGTGTCTCGCTCTGGTGTCTCGCTCTGGTGTCTCGCTCTGGTGTCTCGCTCTGGTGTCTCGCTCTGGTGTCTCGCTCTGGTGTCTCACTCTGGTCTCACTCTGGTCTCACTCTGGTCTCACTCTGGTCTCACTCTGGTCTCACTCTGGTCTCACTCTGGTCTCACTCTGGTCTCACTCTGGTCTCACTCTGGGGTCTCTCTGGGGTCTCTCTGGGGTCTCTCTGGGGTCTCTCTGGGGTCTCTCTGGGGTCTCTCTGGGGTCTCTCTGGGGTCTCTCTCTGGGTCTCTCTCTGGGTCTCTCTCTCTGAGTCTCTCTCTCTGGAGTCTCTCTCTCTGGGAGTCTCTCTCTGGGGTCTCTCTGGGGTCTCTCTGGGGTCTCTCTGGGGTCTCTCTGGGGGTCTCTGGGGGTCTCTCTGGGGTCTCTCTGGGGGGTCTCTCTCTCTCTGGGGTCTCTCTCTCTCTGGGGGGGGCTCTCTCTCTCTGGGGTCTCTCTGGGGTCTCTCTCTCGGTCTCTCTGGGGTCTCTCTCGGGTCTCTCTCTCTGGGGTCTCTCTCTCTGGGGTTCTCTCTCTCTGGGGGTCTCTCTCTCTGGGGTCTCTCTCTCTGGGGTCTCTCTCTCTGGGGTCTCTCTCTCTGGGGTCTCTCTCTGGGGTCCTCTCTCTGGAGTCTCTCTCTGAGTCTCTCCTCTCTCTCTCTCTCTGACAATTGGGTCTGTCGTCTAAATCACTCTTAAACCACAAGAAAAGTGGTCTCTCTCTGGGGTCTCTCTCTGGTCTCTCTCTGGTCTCTCTCTCTCTGGTCTCTCTCTGGTCTCTCTCTGGTCTCTCTCTGGTCTCTCTCTGGTCTCTCTCTGGTCTCTCTCTGGTCTCTCTCTGGTCTCTCTGGTCTCTCTGGTCTCTCTCTGGTCTCTCTCTGGTCTCTCTCTGGTCTCTCTCTGGTCTCTCTCTGGGGTCTCTCTGGGTCTCTCTGGGGTCTCTCTCTCTGGGGTCTCTCTCTCTGGGGTCTCTCTCTCTGGGGTCTCTCTCTCTAGGTCTCTCTCTCTGGGGTCTCTCTCTGGGGTCTCTCTCTGGGGTCTCTCTCTCTGGGGTCTCTCTCTGGTGGTCTCTCTCTGGAGTCTCTCTCTGGAGTCTCTCTGGTCTCTGACAATTTGGGTTTCACTGTTGTCTAATATCACTGCTATCTATTTGGTCTTAAACCACAAGAAAGTGGTCTCTCTCTGGTCTCTCTCTGGTCTCTCTCTGGTCTCTCTCTGGTCTCTCTCTGGTCTCTCTCTGGTCTCTCTCTGGTCTCTCTCTGGTCTCTCTCTGGTCTCTCTCTGGTCTCTCTCTGGTCTCTCTCTGGGTCTCTCTCTGGTCTCTCTCTGGTCTCTCTCTGGTCTCTCTCTCTGGTCTCTCTCTGGTCTCTCTCTGGGGTCTCTCTCTGGGGTCTCTGGGGTGCTGGGGTCTCTCTCTCTGGGGGTCTCTCTCTCTGGGTCTCTCTCTGGGGTCTCTCTCTCTGGGGTCTCTCTCTCTAGGGTCTCTCTCTCTGGGGTCTCTCTCTGGGGTCTCTCTCTCTGGGGTCTCTCTCTGGGGTCTCTCTCTGGAGTCTCTCTCTGGAGTCTCTCTCTGGGTGTCTCTCTGGCCTCTGACAATTGGGTTTCACTGTTGTCTAAATCACTGCTATTATTTGGTCTTAAACTCACAAGAAAAGTGGGTCTCTCTCTGGTCTCTCTCTGGTCTCTCTCTGGTCTCTCTCTGGTCTCTCTCTGGGGGGTCTCTCTCTCTGGGGTCTCTCTCTCTGGGGTCTCTCTCTCTGGGGGTCTCTCTCTCTGGGTCTCTCTCTCTGGGGTCTCTCTCTCTGGGGTCTCTCTCTCTGGGGTCTCTCTCTCTGGGGTCTCTCTCTCTGGGGTCTCTCTCTCTGGGGTCTCTCTCTGGGTCTCTCTCTCTGGGGTTCTCTCTCTGGGGTCTCTCTCTGGGGTCTCGCTCTCTGGGGTCTCGCTCTCTGGGGTCTCGCTCTCTGGGGTCTCTCTGGCCTCTGACAATTGGGTTTGAGGCGACAGTGTCTCAGTTGGAACCCTAATGGCCGTGGGTTCGATCCCCCCACGACCCATGTCATCTGCCCCATGTAGTCCGCCATCGTTGTGTCCCTGGTCAAGAAACTAAACCCCCATGTCTTCAGCGAGGGACCGGGGCTATGAGCATTGGGTGCCCAAAAATGGAATAATAAAGTGGATGAAAACGAATGAATGAATGAATCACTGTTATATTTGAGATAAAGTTTAACCAAGTTTAATCTCACTAAACTTGGTCTCAAACTACATGCATGAACCAATCTGGATGCTATAGAGTAAACCACAAGGACAAGTGAGAATTTTCCTCTAATACAACTGCATACTTTTTGTGGGCAAAGGACAAATAATTGCAGTCTTTGGGATTTATGAATTGTGTCGAAGTGCAATTCTGAGCCAGCACTTGTTTGTAGATAGGGTTCCAGATTCCTGCTCAAAGAGGCCTTGGTGAGTCCCCTACTTTTACAGTCTATGCTAGCAAGCTGTGTAATCTTTCCCGTGGAGCTATGCTATGATATAATCAGTAGCATTGTTTACATATCGTGGTTCTCCAAGGTGTTTATGAGAGCGTTCCAATGTCCTGGTTATATTTGGGTGTTTCTTACCTCACCACCACATCGTAGTCATCGATCTTTGGGCCCAGCGACTTGTTGGCCAGGATCCCTCCGTTCCCCACGATGATGCATCTCTTACAGGACAGACTGAGGAGACAGAGGGGAGAGGGGGGGAGGGGGGGAAAGAGAGGGAAGAGGGGGAAGAGAGGGGAGATAGGACAGAGGAGACAGAGACAGAGGGGAAACAGGGAGAATAGAGGAGACAGAGGGGGGAGAGGGGAAACAGGGAGAATAGAGGAGACAAAGGGGGGAGAAGGGGGAGAGGGGAAACAGGGAGAATAGAGGAGACAAAGGGGGGAGAGGGGAAACAGGGAGAATAGAGGAGACAAAGGGGGGAGAGGGGGGAGAGGGGAAACAGGGAGAATAGAGGAGACAGAGGGGGGAGAGGGGGGAGAGGGGAAACAGGGAGAATAGAGGAGACAGAGGGGGGAGAGGGGAAACAGGGAGAATAGAGGAGACAAAGGGGGGAGAGGGGGGAAACGGAGAATAGAGGAGACAAAGGGGGGAGAGGGGGGAAACGGGGAGAATAGAGGAGACAAAGGGGAGAGAGGGGGGAAACGGAGAATAGAGGAGACAAAGGGGGGAGAGGGGGGAAACGGGGAGAATAGAGGAGACAAAGGGGGAGAGGGGGAGAGGGGAAACAGGGAGAATAGAGGAGACAAAGGGGGGAGAGGGGAAACAGGGAGAATAGAGGAGACAAAGGGGGGAGAGGGGACAGAAACAGAGCAGATAGAGGGAGAAGGGTGAGAGAGGAGAGAGGACAGAGACAGAAGACAGGAGACAGAGGGGGGCGAGAGGAGAGACAAGATCAGACCAGGCCCCAGCACCTACAGGCCTCACATGGTACTACACTCACCTGTCCAGCTCCTCTCCGAGGCCGTAGCTCTTGGTGGCTGTTAAAATGCCGTCTATGATTCTCTCTGTAAAACACACAACACTAATAATGAAGCAATGTTTGGAGCCTGATACTTTTTCCCCATAAAAAAATGTGTAAAAGCTTAATTAATTTACACATTTCACAAAATGCAGTATTTATCAAATGGATAAAAAGGATTGTATCTTTGGGTCGACAGCCGATGGGTTGAGTGAGGGATTCTCTCTTGTTAACTTCGAGCTAAAAGTGTGACAGGCCAGAAACAACTCCATCCAATAATCTGAATGGGAGCCGTCAAAACGACTGCTCTGGGAGTTCAAGTGGATACAGAATTATCAGAGTCCTAGTGTTAAGATGTTCAGCCGTCTGTGCATTTTCTCTTCTGTAATATATTGTTAATGTTGTTATTCTTAAAGCAGCATATGAAAGCAGTCTATAATAATACAAATAAACAGTGAAGATGGTACGGTCTGGGTCTGGTCTGGGTCTGGTCTGGGTCTGCAGTGGAGTGGAGCGTCTCTGCAGGTGGTCTTCAGGATCACAGCTCAGGACGTCACCTCAGTGTTTACTCCAGATAAGATTCTTGAAGCGCGTGAAGAGAGGAGCGCAGAGCGTGATGGACGGGCTCGGACTGCGGTATGCAACGCTCTCCAGAGGAATGTTCAAACAAGCACATTCTGGAGGCCGCTCTTCGTCCTCTTCGCCATCGCAGACGGACTCGAGGCTTTTCACTGCTGCTGCGCATTCCACTGACGTTTCAGGGGCCACAGTCATCACGACAATTTTAGAGGGTTGTCCCAATCACTGATTTCTTGCCTCCGATCCCGATCCCATTATTAAACTTCAGATCCTATCCCAATCCATTGCTTTTGATCATTTCATTTCATTTTCATTCATTCTCTGCCACCCTATTCACAAAGCACCAGTCCCTCTGATCCTCCTGCAGGGTGTGGGTCCACAGGAAGATGGCTGCTCCTTCAACACAGATACGGCCTTGATCTTCAGGCAATGTGGACAACTACCAACTGAGCCACTGTCTCCCTCTTGCTTCTGATCATTGATATTGTAAATTATGAAACAAATGTTGATGCTCTACTCCGAGTTCCTCCCGTGTGACAAGGTGCTCTTTTAGAGTTGGGTGAGGAGTTCAGCCACTCTGCAGGGGACTCATGTTTTTTTTTTTTTTTTACCTTTAATCACTTTTACTAAGTGCTAAAAATTGTGAAATTTACTAATAAGCTAAAAGCAAAACACAGTTTGGTAAAAGGCTAGAATAGAATAGATCTTTATTGTTCAAATTGAGCAGGCTGTTCAAATTTAAAAGGCTATTAAATGCTATCTGCTGACAGTAAACAGTGAGTTGCCATGGTTACGCACAGTTTACTGTCAATTTGAAATGGAGTCAAAATGACTGCTCTGGGAGTTCATGGTGGAACGCCTCCCATTTAAAAAGTAAAAGATTTTTAAAAAAATAGTAATGCAGAAATAAACTTAGAGAAAGAAAAAGCCAAAATGTCATGAGAACCACAATTGTACAAACGCAGAGTTATGATGCAACAAAAATATAAACCCGTCCATTTGACTGCTGTGGGAGTTCTAGTGTTAAATGTTGGAGTGAAAGTGTGGCCTGTGAGCACTTATGCAACAATGACTCTCGCAGTAAACGCTCCTAATGATTAAAGTGCCGTGTTTGGAAGTGGCGCTGAAGTGTGGCATCAAGCATCACCCTCCGGCCGTGTATAAACAGACCAGGGCCAAGACCAAGACCGGGACCAGGACCAGGACCACACCGCGGGGCACCTGACACCCAGGACCATCGCTCCAAGTGTCTGCGGTAAACACTGGTGTCTGTGGGAAGATTTACGATGAAGAGGAGGAGGAGGGGGAGGCCGGGAAGCAGAGGGACTGGACTGGGACTGGGAATGGGATTGGGACTGGGAAGACCTGGGCCAGTCCACGGACAGAGAGAGGTGCAGGGTAAATAAACTTGACAAGCAGATGACTGTAATAAATCCATGTGGAAAAAAGACAGTGCTAAAGTGTGTGAGTGAGTCGTCAAACAGAAGAGACGAAGCTCATGATGGAAGGTAAATAATGATGGTAATGTGTGAAAGCCAGATCCTGTAAGACCCCTAAAGCTAAGCAGGGCAGGGTCTGGTTAGTGCTGTGATGGGAGACCTCTGGGACAACACCAGGGGCCACAGTGAGGGAGGCTGTAAAGTGCCAAATTGTTGTCGTGTCCTGAGGAAAGACTCTTCACCCACATTAGAATGACTCTGGTGTGTGTGTGTGTGTACCAATATTACTTTACAACGCACAATAGATTACTGTATGTATGTGTACTGAATGTGCTGCTAAATCTAATCTACATATATCACATGACTAATCATAATCTTAGTTCTTGTTCCCAGTTTATGTGTCTGTGTAGAAGTTAAACAGTTTAATTCCCAAAGTCTGGTGGGAAGACACTGAGGACTTTTGCACTTGTATTTCCAATGAGGTTTTACTGCAAATGGCAAAATAATGAAATTAATCTTTCCGATATGCATGGACGTCGGAACTATTTTCTGAGAGGGGGGGCGGGTTTTTGTTGGGAGAGTCGAGGGAGAGACTCATACTTGGATTACACTGGATAATAACATACCATCTTAATTGTTAAGAAAAACAAAATAAACAATATATATCAAGCGAGTCACTTATCAAACTGAACTTTTTTTTTTTCAATACGCATTCATGCGTCAGTCTCTCCGGTGGCTTCATTGTGTTGTGTAGCCCAGTGACGGGAGGAGACACCCGTTTTTTTTACTTTTTAAAACTCATTGAACTTATTTCCAAATGGAGGATTACATGTCTGTGCTCAAACTATTATCTGGACTTAAACATGAAACTGGTCCTAACTGAAGTGGTCTGTGCTGTTCATTAATACCTAAGGTAAGGCCCATAACACACTTTGTACTTTTTACAAACGTTTGCGTTTTGTATGAGAAAACAATGCAGACATTAAATCATATTCTGCTGTAGCCAAACAAATTGTGTATAAGCCGCTCCTGTTCCTGTAGGTCCTGTTGGTTTATATGATGTATAATCATATGAACACATGATTGATCCCCCACCGCACGTCACTGGTGTAGCCAGGTCTCTAATCTGCGCAAGGCTGAGAAAGAGCGCTCAGAGGCTGCGACAGATATTAGCCAGACAGAGCTTCATAAGCTTCTCCGACAGCATGGAGCGGGTTTTGGGCTGCAAGGAACGCAGGATAGTGATAACTTCTTGCTCCCGGCACACGCGGAGGGGGTGCGGCCGCACCCCCCGCACCCCTAGTTCCGACGTCTATGCCGATATGGAATGAAGGCTTTCTAACTTTAAGCCTGGTTCACACGAGACGATTTTATAATTGTCGGCCGATTTTCCTAACCTGAGAGACCCCACACACAGAGATAAAAATCAAGGGTCTAACCACTTTGGTCGTACAGTGTGTGGTGCACAGCCACACGGCAACATCACGCAAACCACACACAAACCGATTTCACCCCCGAGCATTCCCAGGTCAGACAGAAATCTCACAAAATCTCTCGAGATCAAGCGTGACTTCAGAGTAAACAATCATGGAGGACGAAGAGGATGCAGTGGCAATAGTTTGTTTTTAACAGAGAAAAAGTGTTATTAAAGGAAAAGGCGATTGTCAAAGAAAAGAGACAACGTGAGCTCGGACTGTACATATATATTTATTTATATATATTTATGTCGCTGACAGTTATGATTTTTTGTCTGTCCCCGGAGGACACCACACACGAAGACAAATCGGGCCAAAACAATCCAACATGTTGGATATCCCCGATTTGAGATCGGAGCAGTCCCGAAGTCCTTCTGGGCGACGCAGTCTTAACACACCACACATGGAAAATCCAGATTTTTTTTGAGAAAATCTGGGAGTTTTTAAGATTGTCGTTAGGGGTAAATCGGGTCTTAAATCGGCCTAATTATCCTGCCGTGTGAACCAGGCGTTAAGTGTTTTATTGTCAGATTTTAAAAGGTATATAGGAGGATTTTTCCAAATTTTAGGAAAGAATTGCCCTCTCCACTTTTTGAACAAAACTCTCTGGTCTTATTCGACGAGCAAGTATCACCAGAATGATTGACAGTTGGGAGGACCAATAGTCTTCATGATCCACCCAGAAGTAGCAAATCCTCCTACCTTTAATAGAGTAAGTAAATATTTCTTTCAAACTTATATTTTTCATACAGTTGAAAAACCAACACGATACAGACGTTCAATTTGAAAGACAGTTTAAATACAATTGCCAACTTTTTACAGCAAAAAACAGTTTTATACAAAAGAAAAACATTTCCCCAAAGCCGTTATGCAAACAGCTGACAACAATCTGTACTTTTCCGAGCCTCTGAAGTCGCACGTCTATTTCAGGAGGCGGCTTTTGTTCGCGGTTCACGGATGATGTGTTCTTAAGATACCATTGGGTGCAGGTCAAGTCTGGAGGTTTGTTTACACGGACCCTATCTCCAAAATCCGACGTGTGCGATTAAAATAAACCACCATCGCTCCGTGTTCCCGATTGGAAAGCTTTTGTTGCTCATCTCTCCACATGAGCAACTGTAAAAAGGCAGGAGCGGGAACACACACAGCCAGGTGCACAAAGCTGCATTGACGGGAGCCAGGGGCCGAGCTCGGGGCCCCGGGCAGCGGCGGCGGCGTCTGCGAGGGAGCACGTTGGCATACGGTCGCCATGGAGACCGGCTCTTGTTTACGCCGCTACAATGATGTGAAGATGTGCGGTAAGGTCTCAGATTCTCCTTCAGTTTTATAGATTTATAAAATTGTGAAAATATAGACATACAAGTGCCTATGTGTGTGTGACAAAATCACACATTCATTCTTACACTCATACACACATTCTCACACACAAACACACACATTCTCACACAAACACACACATTCTCACACTCACACACACATTCATGCTTACACTCATTCTCACACACACACACATTCTCACACACACACACACATTCATGCTTACACTCATTCTCACACACACACATTCTCACACACACACACACATTCTCACACACACATTCATTCTCACTCACACAAACACACACATTCTCACACTTACACAGACATTCACTCTTACACTCATACACACATTCTCACACACACACACAAACACACACATTCTCACATACACACACACACACATGCTCACATACACACACACACACCTTCAGTTTTCGACGATTGATTTCACAGTGTCAGTTGTTTACTGTTTTGTTTGTTTAATTTCTGTAATTTTAACCTTGTTATAATGCAATGCACTTGTCTGCTGCACACTGGGGACTTTTGCGAAATTATTAAATGTGGTTTTACTGCAAAAGGCAAACTTTTTATATTAATAATATTATAATTTTTATTGTCCTGTTCCATGTTCTCTTTAATGGAAAAAATATAAGGAAGACGCCCAAAAAACAATCTCAACTCTCAACTTTTCCGGAAAAGGACAGTACTCAAACTTTTAAAAACAATCTTACCCTGGGTTTTAAATCCAAATGGAGGCAAGTAACTGTTGACCTTCCCGAGCCGTTTGAAGTTCCGGTCTAGAAACATGGGCGCAGGCTTCACAAATCTGAAAAAAGAGACAAAACACACACAACATGAGAACAAGCCGGAGTCTGCGGATGACACGAAGCACCTTGTTCCATGTGTTTTTCTTTCTTTTTGGACGGCATTGGGAGTGATTAAGCAGCGTCTGTCAGAGAGTGGAGACTGGAGTTTGGCCTGAGGACTTCTCAAAAGACACAAAGCTAAACTAAACGAGACACGGCCGTGATGGATGCGCACAGACAACATGCTTTGGGCCGGAGGGTTGTTGGTCAAAGCCACTGGGGCAGGACGCCTCGATAGACAGGGAGCGGACTTTTACATTTGTCAGACGAAAATAAGTATTCCTCAAAAATACGAGTGACTTATGCTTAACGGTGTTCTGCTGTGTCTGAGCCATGACGGGTCACAGGCCGTCAAGAGTCTATACGTTTGTAACTTTAAAATTACCGTATTTTTCACACTATAAAAGGCACACTTGATTATGAGGCGCACTTGATTATGAGGCGCACTTGATTATGAGGGGCACTTGATTATGAGGGGCACTTGATTATGAGGGGCACTTGATTATGAGGGGCACTTGATTATGAGGGGCACTTGATTATGAGGGGCACTTGATTATGAGGGGCACTTGATTATGAGGGGCACTTGATTATGAGGGGCACTTGATTATGAGGGGCACTTGATTATGAGGCGCACTTGATAATGTGGCCCGCTTCATTATGAGGCGCGCTTGATTTTAAGGCGCACTTGATTTTAAGGCGCACTTGATTATGAGGCGCGCTCAATAATGAGGCGCGCTCAATAATGAGGCGCGCTCAATAATGAGGCGCACTTGATTATGAGGCGCACTTCAATAATAAGGCGCGCTTGATAATGTGGCCCGCTTCATTATGAGGCGCACTTGATTTTAAGGCGCACTTGATTTTAAGGCGCACTTGATTTTAAGGCGCACTTGATTTTAAGGCGCACTTGATTTTAAGGCGCACTTGATTTTAAGGCGCACTTGATTATGAGGCGCACTTGATTATGAGGCGCACTTGATAAGGCGCACTTGATTTTAAGGCGCACTTGATTATAAGGCACACTTGATTATAAGGCACACTTGATTATGAGGCGCACTTAATAATAAGGCGCACTTGATTCTAAGGCGCATTATCAGTTGCCTTTATTTTCATATGTCAGGTGCACCGGATTATAAGGTGCATAGTTGAAATTAAAGACTTTTATATGCGCCTAATAGTGCGAAAAATACGGTCCTCAAATACTGTCCCGGGCTTGTCAAAACTCTGTGATGCAACACTGAAACTTCCTCACTGTTGGATGAATAAAGGATATGTTCAACCTCATCTCAAATCCTGTTGTGTCCAGTTCAAAACAGTTGTCTCTCTGCTATATTACAACATGAAAAACACATGCGGCTTATATTCAAGTGCAGCTAATCAGCCAGAAGCTCATGGATTCGAATCCCAGTCGGAACAGGGCATGAGGAGTGAGGTTTCCTCCGGGTGCTCCAGCTTCCCCCACCACTAAAAACATACATACAATAGTAAATCCTCCAGCTCTGGCAGTTCTGACCGAGCAGAGCATTAACATCTGGAGACGGGTTCCTGGGCTCTGTTACTACGGCAAACACGGCTCCTGATAGACGCCCGAATGGCATCAGGACAGGTCAAATGCAGAGGACCATGTTCCCTATGGGGATAAATAACAGGAGCGACAGTGGTTGGTAGAGTATTGGCCTTTGAGCCTGAAGGTTGTGGGTTTGAGCCCACCGCGAGATCTTCTCCACCGACTCCATTGATGTCTCGTTGTGTCCTTGGGCAAGACACTTAACCCACTTTGCCTATAAGGAGCTGGGAAGTAATGTTGGCTTAATGTCTTGATGTGTATATGTGAATTCTGATATTTCCCCACTAATAAAAAAGGACCTTCTACATTTACATTTTACAGGTGCACTTTGACGTCCAGAAAGTACGGTAACTTTATGTTCACTGCAGATTCACAGCCGAGTGAACTTTCCTCTTTCCTTGTCCGGTGTCCGTTTGATTAATAAATGTCCTTAAAAAAAATCAAAAGGATCAATTTCCTGCCGGAGCGACCTCTGACCCCAGGATGGATGTCTGTTATTGTGACCTCCCCTCGGCCTGGACCACCTCCGCACGTGTGCAGGTCTGAGCTTCAGTCCTACAGAGTTTTAGTGCGAGTTTGCTGCGATCATTCCACGCCAGACTCAAGTAAAAACCAGTGAATCATTGTGTTTACGCGACAGGACGGTTACAGGAATCTGAGCGTGTGATTGGTCGGTTCTGGGCCTTAGCTGACATTTGAAAATATGAGAAAAGCAAGCAGCCGAGCGAGAACAACAAACCTGATTCATGTACTGAAGTAAACAGAATACTAGTGGTAGGAGGACAAAAAACGGTTGTGTTTTTGTCTGCTTTTGTTACTCTAGTCCAGGGGTCTCCAACCTGTGGCTCGGCAGCTAGCAGTACCTGGGAATTCATTCGACGGCAATGCTCAGGTCCAAAAATACTACTGTAATGCTAAACTAAGGCAGCTAATCCTTCAAGACAGTAGTCCCCTGGTGCACACTGGGTAGTCTTGCACAGTTTTTCCAATGTGGTTTTACTGCAAAAGGCAAATATAATCTTGACTACTCTACTCTACTCTACCAAACTCTACTCTACTCTACCCCACCCAACTCTACCCTACCCCTGCCTACTCTACTCTACCCAACCATACCCCACCCTACCCTTCTGTACTCTACTCCACTCTCTCTTCTACCCTTCCCTACCCCACCCTACTCTAATCTACCCTACTGTACCCTACCCTAGCCAATAATCAATAATAAATGCAAAGATAAAAAACACATAGAACCATTGGTCCATAAGGGGCAGAGATCAGAGATCAAAGTCCATAAATATTAATACAGTCCATAAAAGCTGTTGCCTGTGGGGTGTCCTGGATCCTCGCCACAGTCCTTGGACCCTGCTGCATTGTTTAACTACTGTAATGCTGGTAATCATGTCAAACTAACAGAACGCAGACTGCAGAAGCCTCACAAGCATCTCAGCCTCTCAAACATCTTATATATTTCTCGGTAGATCCTGGCGGCGAGTCGGGCTTTTGGTAAAACCCCCACTTTGAGTTTCCCAGAAAACAATGCCCCCTGCAGCTCGATGACCAAACAAGGGCCAGGCTGTTCTGTTGATATCAAAGATCGATGATGAGACTGGAGAGCGTTATTCCAGAGGGTCTGAGAGCAGGGACAGGTCTGACTCGGGAAATTGTTTAAGTAATGCAATATGAATGGTTTTGGTGACAAATTATATCTGTGGTAATCAGATTTAATTTGGAAGTTGATTCATGTGTACTGTCCCTATTCAAATGAACTCCATCCATTTTCTTCCGCTTTATCCGTTGCCGGGTCGCGGGGGCAGCAGTCTAAGCAGAGACACCCAGACTTCCCTATCCACACACACCTCCTCCAGCTCGTCCGGGGGGACCCCAAGGCGTTCCCAGGCCAGCTGAGAGACAGAGTCCCTCCAGCGTGTCCTGGGTCTTCCCCGGGGCCTCCTCCCGGTGGGACGTGCCCGGAACACCTCCCCAGGAAGGCGTCCAGGAGGCATCCTTAACAGATGCCCGAGCCACCTCAACTGGTTCCTCTCGACGTGGAGAAGCAGCGGCTCTATTCCGAGCTCCTCCCGTGTGACCGAGCTCCTCACCTTATCTCTAAGGGAGCGCCCAGCCACTCTGCGGAGGAAGCTCATTTCGACCGCTTGTATCCGCGATCTCGTTCTTTCGGTCATTACCCAAAGCTCATGACCATAGGTGAGGGAGGGAACGAAGATTGACCGGTAAATCGAGAGCTTTGCCTTTCGGCTCAGCTCCCTCTTTACCACAACGGTCCAATACAGCGACCGCATCACTGCGCACGCTGCACCGATCCGCCTGTCAATCTCACGCTCCATCCTTCCCTCACTCGTGAACAAGACCCCGAGATACTTGAACTCCTCCACTTGAGGAAGGACCTCTCCACCCACCTGCAGAGGGCAAGGCACCTTTTTCCGGTCGAGCACCATGGCCTCGGATATGGAGGTGCTGATTCTCATCCCAGCCGCTTCACACTCGGCTGAAAACTGCCCCAGTGCATGTTGCAGGTCCTGGTTTGTTGGAGCCAGCAGGACGAAATCATCCGCAAAAAGTAGAGATGAAATCCTGTGGTCCCCGAACCGGACCCCCTCCGGCCCCTGGCTGCGCCTAGAAATTCTGTCCATAAATACAGTGAACAGAACCGGTGACAAAGGGCAGTCTTGGCGGAGGCCAACATGCACCGGGAACAGGTCTGACTTACTGCTGATGCGAACACAGCTCTGGCTCCGGTCATACAGGGATCGGATGGCCCTCAGCAGAGGACCCCGGACCCCGTACTCCCGGAGGACCCCCCAAAGGACACCCCGGGGAACACGGTCGAACGCCTTCTCCAAATCCACAAAGCACATGTGGACAGGTTGGGCGAACTCCCATGAACCCTCGAGTATCCGATGGAGAGTATAGAGCTGGTCCAGTGTTCCGCGACCGGGACGAAAACCACACTGCTCCTCCTGAATCCAAGATTCGACCATCGGACGTAGCCTCCTCTCCAGTACCTTGGAGTAGACCTTACCGGGGAGGCTGAGGAGTGTGATCCCACGATAATTGGAACACACCCTCCGGTCCCCCTTCTTGTAGAGAGGGACCACCACCCCGGTCTGCCACTCCATTGGCACCGCCCCCGATAGCCACGCGAGACTTTAGATAGTCAGGACGGATCTCATCCAAATTCAAATGAACTAATACATATATACAGCATTAAGAGAGGGTGAATGTAAACTGTAATAGGAAAAAAAGTATAATAGTATTAACTGAAAATATTCAGGATAAAGGACTGACTGATACAACAGTACTCTACACCACCCTTCCCTTCTCTACCCTACCCTACTCTAGGCAAGGCAAGTTAATTTGTATAGCACAATTCATACACAAGGCAATTCAAAGTGCTGAACAAAACAAGAAAGCATTAAAATCATAAATAATCACAGCCATTAAAAAGAAAGATAAAAATATAAAATCCCTCAGTTGTAGCACAGCTAAACAGAACTGTTTTTAACCTGGTTTTAAACATTGTCAGAGAGGAGGCCTGTCTCACATCTTAAGGAAGATTGTTCCAGATTTTAGCAGCATGAATCTGAAAGGAGCCTCCCCATGTTTAGTTCTGACTCTGGACACTAACACGAGTCCAGTCCCTGTGCTCCTCAGAGTCCGGGCTGGTTCATATGGGACTAACATGTCACTAATATATTTTGGTGCGAGGCCATGGAGAGACTTGTAACAAGCAGAGCCCCTACCCTACCCTACCCTACTCTACCCCACTTTACTCTACCTTACTCTACTCTACTCTACTCCACCCTACTCAGCCCTACTCAACTCAACCCCACTTTACTCAACCCTACTCTTCTCAACCCAGCCCTACTCTACTCTACTCTACTCTACTCTACTCTACTCTACTCTACTCTACTCTACTCTACTCTACTCTACTCTACTCTACTCTACTCTACTCTACTCTACTCTACTCTACTCTACTCTACTCTACTCTACTCTACTCTACTCTACTCTACTCTACTCTAACCTACTCCACCCCACTCTACTCTACCCAACTCAACCCCACTTTACTCGACTCTACCCTACCCTGATCAATAATGAATTAGCTGCAAGTAATAGATTAAAAATGATAGAGCTGTAACAAGTCAATCATTTTGAAGTCAACCCAATGGAAGATGATAAAAGCCAGGAGCGAGAAGGCGAGAGGTCTCTGAGGTCTCCGAGGTCTCCGAGGTCTGAGAGCCGACAGGAGGACACTGTGGTCGTTTCCCTTCGCCGCGGCACATCTTTCCTGGGGCATATTTTCATAACCGCAGCCTCGCGTCAGCTTCACTTCCAGTCTGTGATTTAGAGCTGCCTCCTGTGTGTGGAAAATGAATTGGATGGAGAAGGGAAGGCCGTCGGAGGAAGCCGGGGCTAATTGGATCCAGAGCCGCGGAGGTTAAGTAGGTTTTCTCAACTCAGACCTCGTTTCCACAAATAGATTAAATTATTCGCCAATTATGGTTGTTTTTGGTCGGTGAGCGACTAAGTGTAGAAGTGAGTGGAGGAGATCTTAAACCTTTTGAGTCTGACAGCAGAGAGACCTTTCGAGCTCAACAACCCCAACACTAAACACACTAGGAAATGTTTTTTTGCACAGAGATAACTGGAAGGGAACAGTCCGAAGATTTGCTAATTGATCTAGTTTGTTTCACTATGTCCACACAGCAGTTTCAGTTTTGTTTTTTTCAAAGGGGACAATGCATTTTAATAAAACACATGATGAGTAAAAAAAGCCAGAAATAGCCAAGGATGCTATTTTTATGATAACGCCGATTTGAACCCCTGTGCTTCCCATCAGACAATCTTAAAGACGCCCGGTGGTGATACAAGAATCGGATTTCACCTCCAGGCCTTTCTGTGTGGAGTCTGCATGAGTCTGCGTAGGTTTCCTCCAGGTGCTCCAGTTTCCCCTACAACTAAATACATGTACAAGTGGTGTGAATGTAATGAGTGAGTCAATGGATGGTGTTTGGTCAGAGGTTTTGATGAGCCAGTGTGTTTTGCGTCCGTCATCACCGTGTGGAGAGAATGGAAAAATAGCTGAACTCTGAACATTGTAAAACTTTCTTCTGAAAAAATGCTCTATATAAAAAATTACTTACAAAATACTCCTATTGTGTGGTGTATTTGGACTAGTATCGTCCACTCAGAAAGACCAAAAAGGACCACTCTCTTTAACCCCTTAATGTTGTTTTTTGTTTGTCATGTTTTATCTGATGTCTGCTGTCGTTGTGTCCCTGGGCAAAGACACTTAACCCCACTATGCCCGAAGCCAACACTGAAAGACCAAGGCCATGTCCTCCACCTGCATGAGGATCAGTGAGGGGCTGGTGATTTAGGGCTATACAAGAATAAATGTATTTGAGTTGAATGTAATACTGGGTCATAAATACTGTTTAGCGTCTTTCATGATGGTAAACAGACTTTTCCTAGAGTCCAATCTCTGATCCAGAGCAGCAGCATGTTAAAGATGAAAACAAGTTTCTTTTAGCTTCACTCCATCAATATAAACTTAATATCAATGGAACAATGGTCCACACAGCAGACACAATGACAGCTCTCGAGGTTAGGACTTCAGAGAGGCCGAGAGGGTCGCCCCAGGAAGTAGATGAGTCAGACAGGAAGTGGCCGCGGCTTCGTAGAAAAAGGCCTCAGTGGATCGGGCGACAAAGATCCATTGTGCAGTCGACGTGAAGAGCGGTCTTGTTGTGATGCGGAGAACGTGGAAGATGGGAATGTGGACGATGGGAATGTGGAAGGCTCTGTTTTAAGGCTCACACTGCTCCAGGCCACGTCAGTCTGAGCTGTGACATCACACACTACAGGCGTTTCTGCTGACATCAAAGACCTGACGCTTGACCACAACGAGCGGGTCAAAGCCGTCAGCAGCCGGGAGCAGAACAACACAGAATTTAACCAACTGACTTCACACTAGAACTCATGGAGCAGTCAATTTGACAGTTTTTAAGTCCCTGAAGAGTAATTACTCAGAGCATGTACATTGTTCGTCTCCATTACGTTCTGTCCCTAAATGTAGTGTATTTCAATGTCACTCTTTTTTATGAGATATTTGTGTTATATTGGGGTGCAGCATTAGACAGTGTCTATTTTGTACTTAAAAATATTGTTAGGAAAAGGATTTTGGGAAAAAAGAGCCAAATTCTAACATGGCAACCGACTAGCAACCATAGAGCCAATCAGGAGCTAGGTTGGGTCTGTTCCCATGTGAGCTTATGGAAAACAATAGAATGGACAATCGCAAATGAACAGGGCCAGGATTCATTTCAAAGGGTCAAATATTTCTATAGTTTGTAAGGAAAAAAACTAAATATAGATTTTTTTCTTTGTAGATGGCGAATGATGTTGTGGTTGTAGTGACAGCTTGTTACTCACTTAGGGTAGATGGCCGTCATTTTGGCGGCTGCGTATCCCGGCTTGCACGTGCCCTCGCTCAGGTTCCCGTATTTGTACATCAGCTCCGTCGGCCTGTGGATCAGAGAGACGATCAGAGAGAGACCAGAGAGAAAGACCAGAGAGTGACTAGAGCGAGAGACCAGAGAGTGACACAAGAGGGAGACAAGGGAGAGAGACCAGAGAGAGACCAGAGAGAGACCAGGGAGAGACCAGGGAGAGACCAGGGAGAGACCAGAGAGAGACCAGGGAGAGACCAGGGAGAGACCAGAGAGAGACCAGAGACAGACCAGAGACAGACCAGAGACAGACCAGAGACAGACCAGAGACAGACCAGAGACAGACCAGAGACAGACCAGAGACAGACCAGAGACAGACCAGAGACAGACCAGAGACAGACCAGAGACAGACCAGAGACAGACCAGAGACAGACCGGCAGAATATATGTGCATTTGGGGTCAAAACAGAGGCCGTAGAGATGGAGAAGGTCTGGACCAAACTGTTAAACTAATAAAATATTGTTATTTATGTCTTAGACACAAGTTAAGCTATGAGCCAAAGTGCTGCTGGAAGCCATGTTTACCAGGGAACTTCCACAGAACTGGTTCAGCACTGGCAGACACTAAAGGGCAGTGACCTTAAGATGTGACTGAAGCCAAAAACACACAAAATCTAAAACTATTAGACCTTTTTATGTGGTTTGAAAGTTAGTTGCCGCAGCTTTACTCATCAATTACACAATTTTTTTACTTAGTCACGGACTTTTTTTGCATAGTTTTAGAAGTCTCGCATTTTTACCTGTGTGTGGTATAAACGAAAAGGGGAGAGGGAGCTTGTTCAAATAATCGCCGTGTCTCAAAGTGTAGCCTCCCGATTACAACCGACATCATTAATAACCGTGCGTTCGGCCCTGGACCCAGTTTAAATAAACAGGAGTGGGAGAGCGCGGCCCTGTTCGCACTCTTTTACACTTGGCCTTAATAGGATCTCGGTGCAGACATGGCGCGTTCCCGTCACTCAAAATCGGACGGCCGTAGAGACTAAAAGCAGCGAATGAATGAATGCTGATATACAGTAAGTGGTCCGTGTTTGTGGGCTTGGAGCTGGCCCAATATCTGTGCTAATACAGGCACTCAAAGGCACCGGGGTGGGGTGGAATAAGGATAGAAATAGGTCTCATGTGGATGCTATCGTTTGGCTAGCGTTTACTTTGCATTTCATGTTTTAGAAGTGGGTACATTTCTTCCTATTTTGCAGAATTGAATCACAATACAGTCTATATCGCGATATGTTAAGAATCACTATATTACTGAAATGTGGCCCAAATATTGCAATACTATCGAATCGTCGCATTTTGGCCAATTCCCAGCCCTACTAAACACTATTATTTTCAAGGAAAGATTGGCCCCGGCTTACCCGCCAATCTTTACCACTTATACCACAAGACGGGATCCTTTCCTTTTCCAATATAAACGTTGAAATGCTAAAGTAAACGTTCCATCCGTCATAAAAAATGGCATTTAGACGCTTCACCACTCAACGCTCGCTAACAATTAAATCAGTTTAGGAGTTTAGACCCGCGTCAAGCTCATTTCTGCTGATGTAGACAGACCCAGACCCTCCAGGCATAGACCCTCCAGGCATAGACCCTCCAGGCATAGACCTTACAGACATAGACCCTCCAGACCCAGACCCTCCAGGCATAGACCCTCCAGGCATAGACCCTCCAGACATAGACCTTACAGACATAGACCTTACAGACATAGACCCTCCAGGCATAGACCCTCCAGGCATAGACCCTCCAGACCCAGACCCTCCAGGCATAGACCTTCCAGACATAGACCCTCCAGGCATAGACCCTCCAGGCATAGACCCTCCAGGCATAGACCTTACAGACCCAGACCCTCCAGGCATAGACCTTCCAGACATAGACCCTCCAGGCATAGACCTTACAGACCCAGACCCTCCAGGCATAGACCTTACAGACATAGACCCTCTTGGTAGTCAAAGCTGGAGGCTGCCCCAGCTCGGCAGCTCTTCTCCCAGACCCAGACCCTCCAGGCAGTCGGAGCTGGAGGCCGGCCCCAGCTCGACAGCTCGTCTCTGGGACACGCTGCAGCTGCTAACACGGCTCCTCCGTCCACGCGCATTACTCATAACCGCAATCAAAAGCGCCGCATTTATCAGCCCCGCGCGTCCCCAGAGGAATTGTCTTGTTTATTTGAAAAAATCAGGCGAGATTAATCGGCTGAAAGTTTACTTCTTCACGTTTTCCAGTTTGCGCATTGATCATTCCCGCAGTGGCATGAAGAAGGAGCTGCTGACACTGGCTGTTAAGCAAATGGTTTGGAACAGCATTTGATATGGGCCATGGAACAGAGAGAGAGAGAGTACAGTAGGAGTGAGGACGGAATGACCCGAGTAAGAAATATATATAGTTTTTCAGACCAACACTGCACATTTACCTCTGTGACTCTTCATGTGGACTGGGACAAACTTTACCGGATCCATTCATTTACAGCAGTGTTTAATCAAATGTCTATTGTCTGTAATTAATGTCTAGTAAAAAACAATTTGAGACTTAAATTTCATTTAATTTCACTGACATGCATTCTCCAACGGGACAAAGCCATTTATTCAAAAACTGTTGCTTTTTTCTCATTCCAAGGGACACATTTCTTTTATCTTCTAAAACAACATGTTTCTTTGTCCCATTGGAAAGTCTTGTTTTAAGGCAGTTCACACTCTAAAAAAAATTATTTAAACACATTTTGCCAAATTTGAGCCATTTTTTGCAGTGTAGGCAAAAGTAAACACACAAAAAAACCACACAACATGCATCACACACATATCGTAAAAACACATATAGCGGAAAAACTTACAATTTGATGTCCAGCTGCAGCAGAAAGCCCTGTTTATCGTACACTGCGGAAAGACAGACAAAAAAGGGACACGGAAATGTTACTAAAATAATGTCATTTCTGGCCAATCCGGTCACTTACACTGTATAAAAACGATCCAACTAGCAGCTCGGGCGCTGTTGTTGCCGCACAGGGAACATAGAGAAGGAGCGGCATAAGTTAAAACAAGCAGGATTACAAAAGGAGAGATATCGGCGCACTGAAAACATAACAAAAAGGAAGAAGAAGAAGAGAAAGGCAGCGATCACCTATGTCGTTACACCAGACACAGCCAATAGGTGTCTGGGAAGCGTCGGAAAGGCTGGTTAACGAAGCAGAGAAATTAAAAGAAAAAACATGTGGTGGGGTTTGAGTGAAATCTGCGAGAATCTGATGGAAAAGATACAAATCAATATGAGAGAGAGCGGGGATGTCCACAGGAGAAGCCAAAACGACAGGTCAGGCTGAGGATGGGAGACGTCGGTTTAAGGCTAATGATAACGTTTATAGCATGGGTCTACAGCCTATAGCTCTGGAGGTAGCAGTAGCTCGCTAACCTCTGTCTAAGTAGCTCCCAGAAGGATTTGGTCTGAAGTAGCTACTCAATATGAAATGATAAAAAACATGGGAAGTAGTACCCTTTGTCTTTGGCAACACAAGGTTTTTTACTATTTCCAAGAAAAGCATTACAAACTGCTTAGAAAATATTACATTTTGTCCAGTTTTGGGCATTCTTCCTAAAAAAAAAAAAAAAAAACAACCTTTTTGATGTAAAGGTGTGCTAATTATTTGTTCTTTTTTAGTACATACTTTGAAGTCAAATTTGTTGTTTTGATTTTTTCTTAATTATTCAGATTTTTTTAATGATCTATACATGTATATTTTACATGTATAGATAATTATTGTATTTTTTATTTTTATTTTTACACATCAATATTTTGTAATCTTATTCTTTGGGCTGTATTATCACATTTCCAGTGTTGAATATTTACTGAGAAACAATATGGATAAAATGGGACACTTTTGAGCAGTTTTTTTGTAATTTTTTCATCCATATCAGAACTGGTCCGACTATATATCCAACTTCTGCGGATGTAACTCCAATGTGGTTTTACTGCAAATGGCAAATAAATGAATCTCTCTCTGGCACAAGCAAAATGTGGTACCATAAAAGCACTAGAATGTTGTATATTATTTATGTTAAAACTACAGTATTTTACCTGCAATTTCTCAGTATTGAACTGGAGTTTTGCCATCAGAAAATAGATTACTACCAAAAACACAATGTTAATTTGACTAAACTCCCCCAATTTCAGCCCAAACACTGCAAAACGCCAAAGAAACTCAATCTTTTCCGCATTTTGCCTCAATTGGAGCCTGACCCTCTGCTTCCATGGGACATCCCGGCAGAACAGAACAAAGCATGTGTGAATTATCAACATTTGTCTAAGCGTTAGTGGCACGAGGCCCCGACACAGAGGTCCTCAGGGCGTCTTCACGGAGGACAGAGGCTGGAGGAGAGACACAGAGGGCTGGGAGAAGCGTGGAGCCGGGTTAGGGTTAGGTCTGACCACTGCTGGGTCGAGTGTGGTCACAGAGAGCGGTAGAATCGGTACAAGACACAAGGAGTGAGCCCCGGAGAGAACTGTGGCGCCCCCTGCTGGCTGCCTATGCTACTCGCATCTCCATAATGCACTGCAAAAACACAGCCAAGATAAGTTTGTGATCCCTTCAGGTCGGTTTTATGTTAAATTTCAGTGAATTTGCAGCTAAACAAGATCTGCCAAAGGAACAAAAACTGACTTTTCTACTTATTTTTCGTAATTTTGTAAGCGCTAACTATGTAATAAAGTGTAAAAAACGTTCTGTTACTTACAAATAAAATATAAATCAATAAATCAATCAAACTTGTTCCTCGTTCTCAAAACAGTTTGGTTAATTCTCAGGTTGCAACTAAATATTCATTTTATAGTGGATTAAGTTCGAGATTATTATTGTAATCTGTAAATTGTTTAGAACGATATTTCCAGACAAAACTCTTTATTAGCTATCTTTACTCTTTAAATTATTATTTGTTTCTACTATAGTATGTGTTGCAGTAGTTATTATGGTAGTTAACAATCACTTTAACAATCATAATATTCTTCAATAGTTATTGAAGAATATTTACAAATTGTCAAATATTGCAGTGTTTTGCTGTTATTGTTCATCTAATCTTGTGTGGTGTGCTTCTCATTCCTACTGTTCTGTAACTTGTGATACAACACTGAAATTTCCCCAGTGTGGGACAAAGTTTTCAAATTAAAAAAATGATTATATTTGTTTTCTTTCTCTGTATTTCTGTCATTGAACATTTATTTTTGGTGACTAAATCTCGACTTGCTGTTACCGGAATGCAGCACATACTGTAAACTACCTTTCACAACTATAATACAAAGGAAATGGGAAAAGAATAAGTTGTCTATATATAACAAAAAATCTTATAAAATATTAATAGCGCTTGAAAAAATTGGCAAATCTTGCTTTAAATCTGAAAATACCCTAAAATCACATATGGTCTTCCCAATTCAAGCAAATAGGAACTTATTTTGTGTGTTTTTGCAGCTGCAATGGCCCTCGATAATCACAAGGGGGCGATGTTGTACAGCTGATGATGAGCGAGACCCCCACGTGTTGTTTACGTCTGATGAGGCTTCTCTGGCACGTTCTCGATATTAAAATTTGTAGTAACGTAGAAAACCACCTGTCTTTAAGCAGTTTGTTATTCAAAAGGAGGGGATTTTTTACATTTATTTTTGGAGCAGGTAAAAGGAGTGTTCTGCAAACCACTGAAATGTGAGACAATGTTTACGTCAGGGGAGGAGTAGTCTTTCAGGATTTCTCAAGGCTAGAAATGAATTATCTTGACTTAAAAGGAAGTACTTTAACTGTAAAAAATGATAATAATAATAAAAATGTTTACTTGTGTTTACCAGAGTAATTCACAATTTATAAACAAGCTTTAATCCTTTTTACAATATGTTCCATGGGGTTATAGCTAGAATCGCATATTTTACTTATTTATTTACATTATTTACACAAGACAAAAGCTACATTTTAGGAGTGTAGTCAGTTATTATTGGTCATTCTAGGCACTAAACTATTATATTATTTACCAGTAATATTTTCTCCATATTTTAGTACTTTTTAACAAATCCTTTCAATCCTTTTCCTTTGTCGACATTTTTGGTTCATTTATGGGCTATTTTTTTTACCAGCAGAACCAACAAGAACTCATAATCGGCACTGATTCTGAAGTTTAGATAATGACGATTCAATTAAAAAGGCACAAGCCACACACAAAAAACACATAATTCTACTTTTATTCAATTGATTTTTCTACCGACAAAAATACATTTCATAGTTCTATATGAAATACACTAATTTTGTTGTAGTTTGTGTGTCTGTTGCTGGTCCAGACTCTACCTCAGCCCGGACTTGGACCGCCCCCTGCTGGAGGATCAGCGAAGAAGCAATGAGTACGTTTACAAAGCACCAGTGAAAACCAGAGTCTCGTCCAGTTTAATTTGACTGAGCAAGACGCAGAGATGCAGGTGTGAAAACCCAGTTTGTTTGGCACAGCTACATCTAACCATTTCAATTCTGGTTAAGCTAGCACCGAGACAAGGCCAGCAGATGCGTTTTAGAGCGCAGGGAAAAGCCAGGTTTGTAATAGAAATGTATATATTTGGATTTTGGGCACATGTCTTTTTAGCTGTGCATACAACGGATTCTTTTTTTGCATTATTTATTGCTTTTATCTGAACCCACATTTCTATGAGATTTTAAAACCCATACTTTTACTTTGTTTTTATTATCTGTGTTTTTAAACTGCTCTTGTGAAGCACTGTGAATTGCCTTGTACGCAAATTGTGCTATACTAATAAATGATTGACTGATAAAGGAGATTCACTCATTTGGACACACAGTCCCTTGGGGCCTCAATTTCATTGTTTTAAAAAGCTAATGCTAAAAGTAAACAAGCTATTTCGTTCATGTATGTTAGCTATTATACATTTACAATTGCAGTTCCAACGTTTAAATATTAAGCCAATAGTTGCGAGACCCCTTCTCCGCTCAATCGGACCACTATACACTGCACCAGAGCGGTCAGACCGGTTTGAGAGCAACTCTGAATAGTCCGTTTTTTAGCTTACTCCGCGTTCTTATGCTTTGTAAACATACTCATCGTGTTGTGGCTTGAGTTACCACCAGAAACAACCCATAGAGAATGGAAATGGATGAATATATACATTTGAAAGTCCATCCTGGTCTGACTTTCAAATAATGGTCTGAAGTTCAAAGAAAAATGGACTGCGGTTATGCGGAGAATGGCTTTCAAAAATTGCCATTTGTGAACATTCTTCGCGCCTTTCAGTGGTTTGCCGAAGTGTTAACGAAACGGAACGGAACGGCCGGACTGGAGGACAGATCTACCGAGGGGTCTCTGTGTACCTGAGTCTACCATTCGTCCCACGGTGGTGTCCGACTCCATCTCTGCGAAAACAAAACGGTTAGCAGCGTTAGCATCCGTTAGCCCAAAGCTAAAGGCGGCAGATGCTAACGAAAAGACAGCAGAAGACAAGTGAGCGGAGAAACCACGGCAGACACCCCTTCATTCCATGTTAAATTTACCATTTCTTCCAGACAAAAAGCAATTAAAGACAAATGATACATGGAAGCATAGTTTTCGAAGCCAAAATTGAGTCAAATAACCCTGCAGGAGAAAAAAAAAGCAAGCTCGGGATCACCTCAGAAGTTCGGGAGCACCCAGGACAGCAAGAACGAACAACGGTTACACTTTCTCTACCTGAAACTGCTTTGGACGCTACCGATTTGACTCCTGGCTTTTTAGTAGCAGTAGCAGTAGCGGTAGTGGTAGGGGTAGGGGTAGTAGTACTAGTAGCAGCAGTAGTTGTAAACTCTGCCATCCACTCTGAAAACAAAAAGATTAAAACACTCAAAAGAAGACTGCGTGGGAAAGTTTATCATCATTTCATTTCATTTCAGCAGCAGAAAAACAGAGCAACAACAAGCAATTCATGTTGAGTTGGTCGCCTGATTGACAAGAGAATGGACCAATCGGAAGACCGAGACGAGCAAAGAAGGTCAGACTCGAACAGGAAGGTAGAGATCAACCAAAACAAAATACATGGGCAAGATTTTTTTTTTTTTTTTTTTAAATAAATATGGGCCCCAAATTGTTCCCCTGCGGTTGATAGGCGACCATGTTATACCCAATTTGGTGATATTTAGCTATTGTGCTAATTGTGTAGTCTCGGAGAAGTTTACTAAGTTGTCGATTCACCAACAACAGTTCAGAGAATCAAACCAGATCAGAGACTTAAGGTAATTCTTATCAGGAAAACAACAACAACAAGGTTCACTCAAACTATAATCCCAAAAACATAATTAGCAACAATACACAGCTTCATCTTTGGTCCAGTTTCAATCCAAACAAAACCAGCTCAGAAAAATAATATTCAAGTCAGTTTGTTAAAAAAAACACTATAAAAGGTAAAATAAGTAAACACACAAAAGTTCTAAACATGAGTCAGAAACTAAACTTCCACAAATACTTGACATTTCTCAAGAATTATCCCAAGTTTTCCATCTCCTCTTCTTTAAAATACACCCAGCAATGTCCACAAAGTGTCATGGAATTATGAATTAACCTTGACCTAATTGCTAACTAGAGCGTTAGCATTAGCCGCAAGCTCATGCTCATCTACCACAAAACAACCTTTTAATCAGCTTTTTAAAATCAGCCATGCAGACGAGTCGTAACAAATAACAAAAACACAGCCGATATCGGTGTCGACGCCGAATGTTCTCGTGAATGCACCACTACAGCCGCCAATCATTTATTATTTTACACTTCAAATCAAATCAAATCACAAACACAGGAGAGAAACAACACAGAGATTAATCTGGCATGAATGTTTTGATCACCGAGGCCGAAGTGAAAAAGCATTCAGTATAAGAATGTTAGAGCTTTCTTTGGGAAATGTACAAAATATTTTTATCACGCACACGGAGAAACATTACGGCAAACAAGAAAACGCATTAAAATATGAGACAATAGATATGCACCAATGAAAACACAAGAGAAATGAACAATATCTGAACTGAAATAAAATCACTAACTTTAGCATAATAAAAAAGCAGGTCTAAAATCTTTAATGTTAGCATAATAAAGAGGCTAGTATAAAATCTCTAGCTTTAGCATAATAAAAGTGACTCAGTAAAGTGACAGTGGACACATTTGCTTCTATGTAATCAAAATTATAAGTGTTAATCGTCCAAATAGAATCAGAAACTGCCTCAGGCCAAGGATCTGAGGTGAAGGAGTTAAAAAGGAGAAGCGGGTAACTTTAGGTGGTCAGAATCAGTCAGAATCAGTCAGAACCGGTCAGTCCAGTTTTGACAGACACATGACTGAAGTTACGTATACATGAAATCTATAAATCAATAATGAAGACATGGGGAGCTCAGGTTCTGGCCACAAAAGATGGTTGATCCATTATTAACACGTCCTCAGGCTGGTTGAAAGCAGCAGGTGGTGTCTGGAGTCAGGGACCAGAGTCAGGGTCCAGAGTCAGGGTCCAGAGTCAGGGTCCAGAGTCAGGGTCCAGAGTCAGGGTCCAGAGTCAGGGTCCAGAGTCAGGGTCCAGAGTCAGGGTCCAGAGTCAGGGACCAGAGTCAGGGTCCAGATCAAGATTCACATCAGAGACTCAGGACCTTCCAGAGTGCTATCCACTCATCCACCGTGCCAGAGTAGAGTAGTCGAGTAGGGCCTAGTAGAGTAGAGTAGAGTCTGGAGGATTGACCTATTGTACATGTTTTTAGTGGTAGGGGAAACCGGAGCACCCGGGGGAATCTACGCAGGTACGGTGAGAACATGCAAACTGCACTCAGAAAGACCCTGTTATGACCGGAATTCGAACCCAGGACCTTCTTACTGAGAAGGGAGAGTGCTATCTACTCAGCCACCGTGCCATAGTAGAGTAGAGTACAGTAGAATAGGGACAAGTACAGGACAGCAGAATAGGGCCGGGTAAAGAAGTCTCTCTCTCCCTCTCGTCTCTCTAATGTTGATGAACTACACAGTCACAAAACAACAATCAAACTTTCAAAGCTGCAGCGATAAAAGTGAAGCAGAATCTTTAGAGTTTGTGGTAAAGTTTAGAGGCGCTTGAATCCAAATTTGACAGAAAAAATGACAACAATGCACACATGAATGCACACATGCAAACACGTAAAAGGCTGTGTTCATGTGACATCACAACATTCCAAAAGAGCTTATTTAAAATCGTGATGGAGGGCAGCTGAAGAATCTTTCCTAGTAACTATGGCAACTGTCAAAAGCCAGACTTCTCATCTTAGTTTTTAGCCAAACTCTCAAATTCCTGAGCCAAAAGAACATCTTTGTTCAATTATCTCCATCTTAAAAAAACGTTTCTAGAAATGGCGACAATATTCAAAAAACACATGTTGGTCATGTCGAATGGACTTTCAGGCATAATCATCAACAAAAAAATATTGAAAAAATATAATGTTTACATTTCTATCACTTTAGAATTCTATCTCAGAAACACTGAGATCCTAGAACGTGAACGCAACACATTTATTTGATAAGCGCTTGAATCTAGTCTTATGGTCCATCTGCTCCAGGACAAGCTCTCCCAGCTCAACGTGCCCGATTCCACCTGCAGGTGGATCACTGACTTCCTGACAGACAGGAAGCAGCGAGTGCGTCTGGGGAAGAATGTCTCGGACTCTCGGATTATAAATACAGGAGCCCCACAGGGCTGTGTTCTTTCTCCCCTGCTCTTCTCCCTGTACACCAACCACTGCACCTCCAGCCACGACTCCGTGAAGCTGATCAAGTTCGCGGACGACACCACCCTCATTGGACTCATCTCCAACAACGATGAGTCCGCCTACAGGAGGGAGGTGGACCGGCTGGTGTCCTGGTGCAGTGGTAACAACCTGGAGCTGAACGCCCAGAAGACAGTGGAGATGATTGTGGACTTCAGGAAGAGCACTGTCCCCCCGCCCCCACCCTCCGTGATGGACTCCCCCATCACCTGTGGAGTCCATCCGTTTCCTGGGCACCACCATCACCCAGGACCTCAAGTGGGAGCCGACCATCAGCTCCCTCATCAAGAAGGTCCAGCAGAGGATGTACTTCCTGCGGCAGCTCAGGAAAGCCAAGCTGCCTGCACAGATGTTGGTGCAGTTCTACACGGCCATCATCGAGTCCATCCTCACCTCCTCCATCACCTCCTCCATCACCTCCTCCATCACCGTGTGGTTCGCTGGAGCCACAGTCAGGGACAAACAGAGACTACAGTGCATTGTGCGCTCTGCAGAGGAAGTGATCGGCCGCAGCCTTCCATCGCTGCAGGACCTGTACGTCGCCCGAGCTCGAGGCCGGGCTGGTCGTATCACAGCCGACCCCTCTCACCTGCACATGGACTATTCCATCCACTCCCCTCAGGCAGGAGGCTGCGGTCCATCAGGACTAGAACCTCCCGCCACAAGAACAGTTTCTTCCCCTCTGCTGTTGGACTCTTGAACACTTCTTAACCTGTCCCCCCGCCCTTTATAAAGTCACTTTACTTCACTGTACTGCTGTCACCTTACATTGTGTGCACCATGTGCACTTGTATATTGTAAATAGTAACTGTAACTCTATTTTAAATTGAAATTTATTCTTTAGAAGCGTTTTTTATTCTTATTTTTATTATCTCTTTTTGACTGTTGCACTGAGCCAAAGCAATTTCCTTGTCTGTGACCTCCTGTTACTTACGTGGCAATAAAAATTATTCTGATTTTGATTCTAGTGTGTTCACACCAAAAGTGTAAAAACGCCCTTGACGCCGTTTTTTTTTTTACGCTGGTTTATTTTGAGAGGGACGCCCGTCCTCTCGGCGCCACCATTAATTTTGAATGCAAACCTGACGCCCACGAAGTCGAAGCTGAGAGCGGTGTGAACACGTCATTCTACACTTTTACACTATTCTACAATCTCAATAATACGTTGTGTAAGCGAGACAGAGGGCCAAACACAATTCATTTTTGTATAGCCCTAAATCACAGTAGTTATCTCAGACGACTTTACAAAGCTGTCGATTCACAAACACATCAGAGTAAGAAGGTACAACGTAATCTTTATTTATATAGCACCTTTCACAGACCAGAGTCACGGAGCAATTGTTGTGGACATTCTCTCTCACTCCACACAGAGATGGGAGCGAGGTTGCCATACAGGAGGCACATGGCAGATCAATCAGTGGTATGGGAAATTGGAGTCCCCGCAGGAAACCTACACAGACACGGGGAGAACATGCAAACTCCACAGATAAAGGTCTGGAGATGGAACCCAGGACCTTCTTGCTGTGAGGCACAAGCGCTAACAGTTCAGTTCTGTAGATCCAGGACTCAGGCTGTACAACGAGGACAGAGGCCACTATGAAAAGTATAGTATTCCA